AAGCTCTGGCAAAGCTCTCTGGTTTTTTGCTCAATCTCGATCCTTCATCTGGCTCATCGTCATTTCTGGTTCTTGGACTTGAACCAGTGGCCTGCCGATTTTGGGATTGTTGTCTTCACACCCTATGAACCAACAGCTTGCTGTCTTACCTGCTGATCTTGGATTTGTCAGCCTCTGAAGCCAGCAGCCTGCTGTATTGCCTGCCTGTCATCAGCCCCTACAGCTACGTGAGTTAGGAGAAGCCTCCAGCTTGACATCTGACCCATGGACTTGGGACTTGCCAGCCTCTACAACTGCGTGAGCCATTTCCTTAGGATAAATTTCTCTCTCTACATACTTATAAGCTTCACTGGTTTTACTTTTCTAGAGAACCCAGCCTAAGACATTTCATACCAAAAGTAGTTCTAGAGAAAGAAAATTCTAAGGATGAGAGTTTTCTAAATTGGTTCTCAAGTTTGATTAGTTGTAAAGACACTGATGACTCTGCTTCCCTGAGTAAAAAGAGTACTGCTAATCCATGGCGTGAGGTGGCAATCATAATACACAAAATAGCACCACTAATAGATCAAGTATGGTGAGAAGTGAGGCTCTGGATGATCACGTGTTTGATATTTTTCTTCAGTTTTCTCAGAATGAGAAGTAAAAGGAATCTGGTTGGTTAGTCCTACTTATGCTAGACAAAGTGGTGAAAGAAGAGATGAGCTCAGGGCTTTGTAGTCACTGCTCAAGCAGTGCATAAAAGACCTCAGTGTTTCCACTGGTGCCATAGGAAACTTATTTCTTGTAGTAACAGAGCTGATATTGCTGAAAACCAAACCCAGAGTTTTATTGTAAGAGTGGCTTAATTATTACAATGCCAATTGAATTCCCAACTTCATATAGCTGGGAACTGAAGTTAACTGAAGTTTAACTGAAGTTAAAGTGAGGGCATTGATTAGGAAGAAATGGAATCCTGAAACTTGGCATGGGAACATATGGGCAGATAATCAGGACGCTGGGGACACTGAGCCCCTAAAATTCCATTGAATCACTCCTGCCAGCAGAATCTGGTAGCAGAATCTCTTACCGCCATCTGATGAGATTAACTCAGCTGTGCCTGCTGAGTCATTGTCTGAGATATCCACTGAGGTGGCTCCTGAGACGGATGCCTTACAAGACATTGATGAATGTTCCCAAGAATCATCCCTACTACCCATTGTTGCTTCTAGACCTATAACTAGACTTAAGTCCCAGTGAGCCCCAAAAGGTGAAGTATGAAGTCCCAAAGTGTGACCCAGGAAGATATACACTACAAACCAAAAGAACTGCTTGATTTTTATAATATGCACGAGTTGAAACCTGGAGAATTTGTATGGAAATGGCTATTAACTGTGTAAGATAATGGTGCAAGGTGAATAACATTGGATTGATCTGAGTTTATCAGTTTGAGCTCACTAAGCACAGATTCTTCATTCAGTGCTTCAGTTCAGGAGTTTAGGAAAGGATCTAATAGTTTATTTGGTTGATATACTGAAGCATGGATTATACAGTGGCCTGCACTAAGTCAAGGTGAAGTACCAGACCTGCCTTGGTATACTGTAGAAGAAGGTATTCAAAGGCTTAGGGAAATTGGCATGATAGAGTGTATTTATCAGATTAGACTCATAGACCCATGCACGGAGTGCCCAGAGGATGGACCTTTTACTGTCTTTGATGAGAAAAAAATTTGTGAAGGGTCCCCCAGCATCTGTGAATAATGCTGTGGTTGCTATTTTATGTAAGCTGTACTTAACAGTTGGAACTGCCCTAATAGAATTAAGGCACCTAACTACAGTGAAGCTGGACCCCCTGGTGGTAGGGGCCAAGTGGCAGCACTTAATTGACGAAGACAAGGTGGGTGTGGTTACTGTAATGGGCAGCAGAGTCAAAGCAGTAATCAGAATAGTCTGACTCCTATGGACTTATGGTATGGTGTCCCTAGTTGTAAAATGGATGGGAAATCTAAATATTTACTTGGTTTATACAAGTGAAAGAACTCTAAGTCAAGTGAACAGCAGTCTAACTTGAATCACGAGACTATAGAGTCTTGGCCCCTCAATTAATTCCTAGTCTTGAGCCAGTTTACAGACCCACAACCCCTTGAATGAAGGAGAGGCTAGGTCCCCTTGAGGAAGGACCCCATTACACTGGCAAAAATTTATACTGTCAATCTTTCTCCCAGCCTTCCCCAAAGGGATCTACAGCCTTTTATGAGAGTGACAATTCATTGGAGAAAAGCAGATAATCAGACTATTCAGGGATTACCAGTAAAGTGACACTAATTCCAGGAGACACCAAACATCACCGTGGCCCACAAGTTGGAATGGGGGTGTATGGAGGTCAAGTTATTGATGGAGTCTTAACTCAGGTCTGTCTCATAGTGGGTCAGGTAGGTCCCCAAACTCATTCTGTAGTGATTCTTCCAATTCCAGAATGCATAATTGGAACAGACATACCAGCAACTTGCAGAATCCTCATGTTGGATCCCTGACATGTGGAGTAAGGGCTATTATGGTAGGAAAAACCAAATGGAAGCCATTAGCACTGTCCCTACATTAGAAAATAGTAAACCAAAAGCAGTGTCCCATTCTTAGAGTTTTTGCAGTGATTAGTGCCACCATCGAGGACTTGAAAGATACAGTCATGATTCCCACCACATCCCCATTTAAATCTGCATCTGGTTGTTCACTTTGCTTGGAAGGAGAAATAGCCAGATGTATGATTGTATACTGATTCATGGGCTGTGGCCAACTATTTGGCTGGATGATCAGGGACTTGAACATGGTTGGAAAACTGGTGACAGGTATGGGGAAGAGGTATATGGATAGACCTCTCTGAATGGGCCAAAGAGGATATTTGTGTCTCATGTGACTGCACACCAAAGGGTGACCTTGGCAGAGGAGGATTTTAACAATCTAGTGGATAGGATGACACATTCCTTGGAAACTAGTTAATATCCTTTTTTCCTAGCTACTCTTGTCATTGCCCAATGGGCTTATGGACAAAGTGGCCATGGTGGTGGGGATGGAAGTTATGCATGGGCTCAGCAGTATGGAGTTCCACTCACCAAGGCTGACATGGCTATAGTCACTGCTAATTGCCCTAACAGCCTGCAGCACAGACCAACACTGAGGCTGTGACATAGAACTATTCTTCAGGGGGATCAGCCGGCAACTGGTGGTAGGTTGATTACATTGGACCACTTCCATTATGAAAAGGGCACCGTTTTGTTCTTAGTGAAATAGGCACTGGATATGGATTTGCCTTTGCCTGCACACAATGCTTCTGCCAGAACTACCATCCATTAACTTACAGACTGCATTACAGTATTCCACACATCACCTTGGATCAATGGACTCATTTCATAGCAAACAAGTTGTGGCAGTGGGCCCATACTCTTGGAATTCACTGGTCTTACCATATTCCT